TGTGGGAAATGGTGCCAAGAGCCTTGCTAAAGTCAAAGTAAATGACATCCACTGTTCTCCCGTCCTCTGCAAATCAAGTCATATCATCAAAGAAGGCAATCAGGTTGGTCAGGCATGATTTATCCCTGGTGAATCCATGCTGGCTTTCCCCAGTCACTTTCTTCTTCTTCTTGTGCCTAGAAATGGCTTCCAAGAGGATTTGCTCCATGGTTTTCCCAGGGAAAAAGTGAGACTAACCAATGTGTAGTTCCCCAGGTCATCCTTCTTGTCTTTTCTTGAAGATGGGTGTAGTATTTGCCTTTATTCAGTTGTTGGAGACTTCCTCTGATCTCCACAACTTTTGAAATATGAGAGAATGGCCTCACAGTGTCATCAGACAGTCTCTCAACATCTTCCTACAGATCCCATCTGGTTCCCCTGGGACTTCTATGAGCTGAAATTTCTTAAGAGATATCTGGCTTAATCTTCTTCCAGTACTGGTAGTTTCTCTCCTCCTTGAACTCTGTAGACCTTGCTGGTGAAGTCAAAGCCTTATCTGCATCCACTGTCAGTAAATCACCTGATCTATTCAGCAGCTGGCACACATTTTCATTGTTTATTCTTTTATTGCTCATGTGGTGGTAGAAACTCTTCTTGTTGCCCATAACATCCCTTGCCAGTTTCAACACTGGGTGAGGCTGGGCTTTCCTAACACCATCCCTGCATGTCCAGGCAGTTCCTCCTTAGTTGCTTGCTCCTGCTTCCACCTCCTCTATACTGTTTTTCTGCATTGTCATTCAATCATGACTTCCCTGCTTGTTTTCCTGAGTTTTGTGCTTGGAGGAGGTTGTCCTGAAAGACCTACTAGCTTTCCTGAGCTCTGTTTCCCTTCAAAGCTGTTGCTTAGGGGATCCCACTAACCAGTTCCCTGAACAAGCTGAAGCCTGGTCTCCGGCTCTGTACTCTGCTGTTCTTTCCTCACCACCGTAAGGATCCTGAACTCAGTTATTTCATAGTTACCACAGTGAAGGCTGCCATTGATTATCACATCCCCAGTCAGTTCTTCCTTGTTTGTGAGTAGCAAATCCAGAAGAGCATCACCCTTCACTGACCCCATAGGGTTACAAAGCCTGGGGTCCCATCTCCTTCACTTTCCCCCAGAGCTCTGTAGGCCTGATCTGCACTAGGCAATGTCTTTGGTGTCCACGTGGATGTGCAACAATGGGTAGCGGTCCAAGGAACGGAAAATGATTGGCAGTCTCTCTGCAATGTAATGGATCGGGGCCCCTGAAAATAAAGAAACCTGTTGTGTCAGCATGACGGTTTCACAGTTGTGTGCCTTCATCCTTTGCAGGAGGGAAGCTCCAACCACGGTCACCCACCACTTCCTTTTGCTTTCTGCTAATGCTCTGTTCAAGCTCATTTGGTTTCAAAGCCTTCCTTAATGGAGCTTGTTCTCCCTCATTGGTTATTAGGACACTTTATCAATTCTGTAAACACAAATCTAAGTGCGTTTCTGCTGCTGCAAGAAGCCGCAAATTTCTAGCCTCCCCCATTTCCGGAGTCTCCATCAACCTCTTGCTCAAGTGTAGCCTCTGACTGTCCTTCCTGCCTTGCATCATGAGGCTCAGGATCTTGCTTCTGCAAGGTCTCTGTGAAGACCCTCTCATTTCCTGGTCATCCTCCCTGATTTTTTGCAGTCTGCTCGCCTGGGATGATTTGTCCACCTAGCATTGCTATGCAGTGCACAAATTAAAAAACCTCATGGAAATAAAATTTTGGAACAGTTCATCTCCTCATTCCTTAGCCCTAATAAAGGCTCGCTGCATGCACCAATATTTGTTACCCTCTGATATAATAAAAATTGGGCAGGAGGTCAAAGGGTGGTGAAGTTAAGAAAGAAGAATGAGGTTCCAGAAGTTTTTTCCCTCTAGGAAAAATATCTATGTATTGTTCCAGTGTTGACTATTGCTATACGCTGCTCACAAGTCTTGTGTCCTTTTGTGTAGCTGCATCTGTTCATTCAGGCTGATGCTCAACCCCCTTATTTTTACTTTTTGGCCAGCTGCAATATGTTGATTGCTGCGTGAGCTAAAAATGCTGCCCTTCCCTCTGAGGCATGCAATGTAAAATTATCAGGAGGAAATCAAGACAGACAGTAGAAGTGTGAATATGGTTGCTGCAGCTGGAATCATATGGAGATAAATCTGCAAATGAGATGCAAAATAGAAAATTAGTATAAATACCTTTCATGCCAATAGCCAAACAGCATAGCGGAGTGAACATAAATGCAAAATGTAAGTTAATTCAGGAGATCTCTAGGCTGACCTGTGCATGTCAAGATTTTGGGGGACTATAGAATAGAACAGAGGGTGGAACTGAAGAATTAAAAAAAGAAAGGTCTTCTAGAGCAGTATTGTCTTTTCTTTTGCTTTTCTTGTTTTTGTATGAGCCTGAAAATGTTACAGGATAGACAGACAGATGATTGTGGAGATGAGTGACTCTTCAAGTATAAAGGAAGTTTAGACGGTAAATGCATTTTAAGGATGGATTTAGCTGTGAAAGAAAAAGCTTGGGAAGGCCCTACAGCTCTGTAACCCCATTAGTCACAGTGAAAGAGGTAAAAGAGCTTGTTAGAAAAATAAATGCACATGGAAAAGGGATGACAGAAGGGTCAACAGCAGCTGCACCCTGGAGGAAGCAGGCAAGCTGGAGAAATAGGTTGCAAAAGAAAGAAGGCAATTTTTGTTGTGATTGCCCACCGTCTAAATTCCCCCTCTTCTTATCTGTATTAGCTCAATGTCACATTGACCCTCCCTCTAGCAAGAAGAGTGAGGGGAGGAGGCTTCCACACTTGTCAGCATTGGTTCTTCAGTCAGATGAGGAGGATGCACTGATATGACACTAGTTATTTTACTAGTATGTGGGTCAAAACAAAATCTGGCAGCAAAGCTTTTCAGAGACTGGGTGAGTCCTCTGCTCTTCTGCGATCTTATTGTACAGAGTCTACGAGGAACCTAGGGTGGTTTGTTTTCCTTACACCACTATATGGTGCGTTGCAGAAAAAAAAAATCCTAATTCTGGTGGAAATGAAAGCCTGGAAGCTTCACCTCCTCACTCCTCAGCCTGAGTGAAGGCTGACTGTGTATACCAGTGCTGGAGTTCTGTTACCTTCTGATCTAATAAAAAAGTGAGTTAACTTTTTCCACCTTAAAATGCTTGCAATCACTTCCCCCCCACCCCCCATATCTAAACCAGACCACCGTGGTAGTGGAGTCTCATGCCTAAGTGGGTTTCACTGAAGTTCTGTGCCAGTACATGACAGTTCCTGTGTTTTCTTCCTGCTGCATGAAAAAAAAAAATGTTTAAATATGAAAGTTAATCAAGTCTTCTTTTACTCCAAGTGGCTGTTCTTGCAAGCTAATTAAAATAATTCACACGACTGAAAAACATTTTAATTGACTGAGGTTTGCAGTTCAGAAAAAAATTATTTCTATGTGGAAAGACTTTTTGGGGTTAAGCCAGCATCCTAGCATGCAAGAGAGTTGAATTCAGCTGTTACTATATTATGGATTCGCTTCATAACTTTGAGAAATGCCTTCACCTTTCTGCAAAATGTCAGGTTTTATGGTCCATTCTCACACTTTGTCTTGTGCATTAAAGCGAAATAGGTTCCTGCACTCAGAGGGTTGTTGTAGGTTGAGGAATCCGTCCTTGAGGCTGAGATTCTGGGCTTTGTAAGCTGACCTACTGGGCTCGTTCCGAAGGACCTGGTCCTGTGCGAGCTCTTCCCCCCACCTCTCCATGCCTGCCATTCCTTTGTGCCGGCACTGGCATCCGTGCAGCCACATGTTCATGTGATGAGGAGAAAGAATGACTCAAATGAAAATTTAGGTAGGTAGATGCATTTACAGACCATTTTCTAGGTGCACCTCATTTCCTTAACGAAGCTCACTGGAAAGCATTATACTAATAGAGGGGAAGGGGAGGGAGAGCTCAGCTGGGGTTGGACCCATTTGATGAGCAGGTGTGATCACACCTTTGGCAGCATCTGCTATGGAGATTGACTTAAAGCACTTACAGGACTGCAAAACTGAGGTACTGCTTGCTAGGGAGATATCTGGGCTTGTAGGGAGTTTGGGGCAGAGATCATCTCTCACCTGGTGAATGACCTTATTCTCACACATCAGGGCTTCCTTTCAGCACTTGATCGTCTACAGTCGGGGTTACCTTGTTTGGTTTTTCCTTCCACAAGATACAGGGATTTCCTGCATGATGTTTACTTTCCTGAGCTGCTTACACGTGTTTGTCACTTAACTTTCTTCAGCTTGGACAGAGAATTGTAGGTGACATGTTGATTTTAAAGTTCACATGGGTACATTTATATTCTCCCTGACATGAACTTTATGCTGCTTTATCTCATTTTTATATTTATGTAATATGCAAGTCTTGACTTCCTTTAGTGTAAAGCAGGAAACCAGAAAGGGGAGGATGAAGCTCTGCATTTTCTGACATACACACACACACATACACACAAAAAAAGTTTGTGTGTTTGAAGCGCCTCTTTTCTCCAGGATATTTGCATGCCAAGTGGTTGCTGAGTGTATCTGTAGCCTTCATGGTAGGTGTAGTCAGATGATGGCACAGCATGGCTTCATTGAGAAGAACTGACAATTCGGAATAAGCCCAGGGCATTACGTCCCAAAAAAGGGAAATTCTCTTGCAAAGTAACTTGCTGCTGCTCGGCCAAGTCTGTGTCCCACTGAGGTCAGTGATTTAGCTGCAGTAGATGTAATCTCTATCACAGATGTGACCAGTTGCCTCGTATAAAAAAGAAGTAGTTTCATGTGCCATTTCCAAAGATATGTTGCTCTGAAATTGTGTCAGAATTAAAATGTTACTCGAAGTATTGTCTAAAGTTGAGTTCTCTGAGAATCTTTCCAGGGATTTTTCTTTTTCTTAATGTTTTGCAGTATAGGTGAATGATTTTGTAATAGCTTTCTCTTATATCTGATTTTCAGAAGGAACGATCAATCAAGAAATTACCTACCTTGATTCGCTCTGGATTAGTGGCTGTTTATGGCACGGTTGTTTTGAATCAGATAGTTCTCTTTCTGGGAACAGATGATGGACAGTTACTGAAGGTAAGCTGGGCATGGCAGTTCTTCCCTTCTCCATCAGCTGCTGCTGTGTTCAAGCGGGTAAATGTTTCCTGGTTTAGGCACTGTGTTATAAAGAGATACAATCCCCTGAATCTCTATTTCTTTTTTGTTTGTTTGTGAAGTAACTGCTGTATTGTTACTTGGAGAGCAAGATAACTTTCAAAAGCAATTATGTACCCTGCTTAAAATTCACGGAAACATTTTGTTAAACTGCTAATGCCCACAGTGTCAATTTATGGACTGTGGAGTTCTGTTACTCTGTTTTTTGTTTCCTTCCTTCCTTTGATTTTCCAGTAGAAATATTAAATATTGTTAGATGTTGGAAGCATGTTTGTTTGTTTGTTAGCGTATCTGTGTGATGTGAATAGCTGTCCATTAGAGAGAAAAGTCAAGATTAATTTTGCCTTAGCTTCTGAACAGTTGACCTACGCTAGCTTAAATCAATCACCTGGAAGTGAAAGTCATCTTATCTCATTATCAAACTTTTCAACCATCCAGTCAAATGTCTTTTATGCTTTCATTTTTTCTGGGTTTTGCAAGAATATGCATTTCCTGTCTACATTGCAAAGGATGACTCTTGTTTTTTGTTTTTATTAAGCAGACAGTTGGAGAGGAATATAGTAGAGAGCTTGAAAAGCTTTTACCCATATGTTTCACTGTGCTTTTGATAATGAAAAATGAATTTGAAATCTTCTGTGTCTCTTTAGCACAGTGAAGACCATGAACGTATCTCCCTTGTTTAGTCTTGTTTATGGAAAACCTTGTATCAGTGTTGGTGTGCTTATTAACTTGCAAAATAAAGTTTCTGTGGTCTCTGGTTCTCTTGAATTCTGTGCGAAGGGTGGCAGAAAACTGTAGAGTTGGGCAAGGTAAGAAAAAGAAGTACCACCTCAGATGTATGCTCACAGAAGCCATAAAGAAACTTCTGTCCTGAAGACAGTTGTCACTAACTTGCGTAGGTTCCTTTTTCCATTATGGGTGTCTGGACGTTAGTTTGTTTTCTGAATGCTAATCCTTTCTTCTCCATTCATAGGAGTACTTACCACATTATGACTTTGGGATACAGGCGTCTCTTCCACAGTCATTTTCTGCATCAGTCAGGAACATACTTGGTGGGAGGGATGTTTCATACACTAAACCAGTGCCAGATTCATTGCAAAATGTGTCTGGCATGGATTTTGTTGAAATTCTGTTCTGGTGGTCTTTTCCTCCATCTTTCTGCAGTGTGAGAGCCAGTGCAATAGGTGAATGGAATCAGGTCACAGTAAATCATCTCAGAAGCTGTGATGTAGCTGAAATTAGGCTTTTGTTTAAAATGCTGACTGATCAATAAAAGAACTTGTGAATAATTTAATTTCCTGTGGTTTAGGCTGTTCTTAATGAGGATATGGAATCTAATTGCCCAGAGGTTTTATATGAAATTAAGGAAGAAACCTCCATTTTCCCCAAACTTCGACTTGATCCAGTAGATAATAACTACATTTATCTGTCCTCTGCCAATAAGGTAAGCACAATATTAAATAAAATAATAAATTCAAGTAAACTACTGCTTTAAGGGTTTCTGCCACTTTATAAGTGAAGCATCAGTTTGGGTCAGAGTTAGACCTTAAATATCCAAACTGCAGTTACCAACTTTACATCTAATATCTGGTTATGTTGTCTAAATTTGGGCTGCCGTTCTGCAGAGCTTAGAAGAGCTTCTACTGTCATGGTGCTGCCCACTGTTGCTATGATCCAGCGACACACTTAATCCCACGCTTATTTTATGTCATTCTGTTGAGAGAGTCTTTGTTTCTCTTTTTCCTGGAGGCATCATGCAGAATCAAGCTTGGAGGTAGCAAACAAAACTTGTAGACTGTTTGGTGACGGAGTTCCTCTGAATTAGCAATCCACGTATTGGTAGGGCAGGGTTTGCTAGTCAATTATGGAGTTTCTAATGTGGAGGAATCTCTTAATCTGAGAGACAGGTTTGAAGTCTTAGTTCTGCTGAAATCAATGATAAAATTCCCATCATCTTCAGTTAGGCATAGACTTTAAAAAACAGAAACAAAAACACAGCCAGAAGTGATTAACATGCATGCATAGTGAGGCCAAGGAGTTCAGCAATCACTGGGGGCTACTGCACGTGAGCAAAGGCATCAGCGCTGCGCGTCAAGCAGCGAGTGGCTCCCAGGAGCCGGTGCAGTTGTTGCAGCACATCCTGCAGCAGGGCTACTGAGCACCAACTCGGCAAATTCCTTTGTCTCACCAGCAGCAGGGAAGATGGCAGTGAAAATATAAGGGCTGGCTGTCCATCTTAGCTGGAGAGGATTTCACCCAGCACTTGATTACCTTCATTTACAATAAAATCACTTTTCCAGCACTGAACATAGCATTTTAGCCTGCTGTCTGAGAGAGTGGGTAAGTTGGTAGGAGAACTCCTGACTAAACCATCTATCACAACTACAGAAGGAATCAAAATTTCAGTCAAAAGTATATGTAGATGTTCAAAGTAAAGACTTGAATTTTCTTTAGCTTTGGTAAAAGAGCAAGTTGTTATAGAGGAACAACAGCTTTTAGGAATAAATGCCTCTCTCTGATCATCTCTTGGAGCTTAAATAAGGCTTCTACACTGTCTTTTTCAACTTGCTAGTAGTCTATGATGTTGGCTGGTTTCTGGACTGATTATCTCACACACCTTCAGATAAATTGAATTTTACAAGATATGTCTGGAAACAACAGTAAATATAGTTTTGCAGAAAGCCATGTATCCTTATTTGTGTTCATAAAATATAGGAACTTGTAATTCTTGCAAATTTGTAAAAAAATGGTTTGAATTAGGACTATTTTTCCTACTAAGATTATTCATTAACATTGTTATTAATAACATTATTTATATTTGTATTCAGTATTTGTAATCAGCTTTCTCTTTTTTCTTTTTCCTTTCCTTTTCTGAAAATGGCTGGCTAGGATATTCGAGCTGAATGTACAAGTATAGCTACATACAATATAGCCACAATTATCTACATTTACTTGTTGAAATGGCATTTTCATGCATGCTAAGTAGTTGCATGCATTTGTTCTAGTGTGCACATGCAGTAACCTGACATGGTGATGCAAACACAGATGCATTTTGTTTTGTGCATGCATTTTTGGATGCACCTTCATCAATCATTTAATAATCTCAGTTCTGATGAGAGGAAAACAGTATTCTGCTAAGCAGAGCATTATTTGTAAAATATACCTCCTTTCTATTGCTATCTATAATTCGCTATGCTAATCAGTCTTTCTTGCATTAATCTGTCCATGCTGGCCTTTGAGCAGTAGAATCAAATTGTCATTGTCAGAGGCATTTCGTTATCTGATGGCAAAATACAGCGTGCATAAAATAGGTTGCATATTTCTATCCAAAGGTCGTCTGGCAGAGGGGAGTCCATAAGGAAACTTTCCTGAAGGGATCGTGCTTGGTTGCTGTCAGATTTTTAATGGTAATCCTCAATTTCTCTGGTTATGGAGGCTATTTTAATTCAGTGTATTATTGCATTCTTTGGTTTTAGGTGAGAAGAATACCGGTTGCAAATTGCAGTAGATACGTTTCTGAGCAAGAATGCTTATCTGCAAAGGATCCCTACTGTGGGTGGTGTTCTTTGAATCAAAGGTATTTTTTGGTATTTTAGACTTTCATATAAAAGCAATGCATTATTAGTCAGTGTACATTTTGACTGGCTTGGAGCTATTCAGCATCACGATTGTATCTACTGAATTTTTATGGAATCAGTCATAGCCATAAATGTGAGACACTTTATTGTCATGTGGAAGGGAGCTCTGTACCTTTTAAAGACCATGTTAATCCTCAGATTTTTGAGATCTACCAATAAAATATATGTTGGGCTAAGAAGAAGAAATTATTTTGGTTTTAGAACAGATGTTTTTGCTTTCCAGATTGAGGGATAAAATTATATCCTCTTACTTGAAGCATCTTAATGGCTGGGGGCATTTTGCATGTGAGAACAGGGAAAAAAAGAGTGCTCAGTTGTCTTCAGTATTCAGAGTTTCTTGCTTTGGAACCACTGCCTTTGGTTTAGGCCAGAGGAGAATTTCTTTCTAAATGCTTCATCCTCATATTTGAGTCATTAGTTTTTCTGCTTTCTTTGAAGCAGGTTTGAAAGCTATTTTACGTCTTTTGCCTGGACTGGCGAAATCCTGGGTCATCAAGCCCAGTCTTGGCAATTGCAAGCAACCACATCGTGTAAACCTACTCATAAACTAATCAAAGACCATCCTAAATTTAGATTTTTGTCCTCCCTGCCCTGTTTGTGTGGCTGAGTGTCTCATTTTTCTGCTGGTTACAACCTGTCTGCTCGTTTTCATCACGTGTATGTTCATGGACAGGTTGTACTCATTTGTTCTGGTGCTCACGTCGCCTTGGCTTAAATAGGTTTTCCCCCTCCCTCACACTTATCTCCTCAATGTTTTTGTGAAAGCAATCTCTTTTTTCACTTTCACTTTGGTGTGCTAAAACAGCTAACTTGACTAAGATCCTCTCACATAAGACACTCCTTTCTTAACACTGCTCTAGTAACCCTTCTGTGAAGTTTATGCATCCTTTTAAAATAAGGATGGCCAGGACTGTCACAGTATTCCAGAAGGGATTTCGGCTGTGCCTTGCTCAATGGTGTTTGATCAGTCCATCCAGAAGTCGTCTTATTTAGTGTGTCCTGGGATCACAAACGTCTTTTTCATGACAGCATCACATTGACAGGCCACAGTCATCCATGATCAAATAATGCCCCCAGGTCCTTCTCTTTCTTTGTTTTCTTTCCAACTGATGAGTTTCCAGTCTGTAACACATATGGGTTGTGAGATTTTTATTGCTCTAGATATATGTTCTTGTACTTCATGCTTTGAAATGTCATCCCATTTCAAGGTTATCCAAGTTTTCCTGTGTGATATTCTCATCTTCCTCTGCATGCTAATGTTCCCAATTTTGTACCATCAGCAGATGTCGACAGTGTAAACCTTCTTTTATGCCAATTCATCAGTGATTCAAACATTAAACAAAAGTGGTTATAAGATTGATTTTTGAAGAATTCTACTAGTAGCCTTCTTTTAGAAGGTTAATACTACCTATTTTGGTTTGTTTCAATGTTAACGTGATTTTGCTGAAGACCTGCTACTTTGTGTTTGCAAAGGTAGTTATTAGAAGAGAGTAGGTGTTTATTCTGTAACGTGTTTTCTTCAAACTGTCTTTTGCTACCTTGTTAGAAACTGTATATGTTACAGTGCTAAGCTTTTCAGGCTTTTAGTTACCTTATAAAGAGTTTGCGAATAACGGTTATTAGTCAGTAAATCCCCTGTTTATGAGGGGAATCACCAAAAGTTTCCATCTGGTTGAAACAGAAATAATTTACTCTTCTGGAGAAAAAATGAATTACTATAATATGAATCCCGTTCAACACCCACGTAACTTTTCACCGTTAAGCACGTAGCGTCATTAAATATTTGGTTTTGTGAAGAGAGAGCTCTGAGTGAAGCTTTAGAAAAAGAGGAGGACAAGTTTTTAGCCAGTATTTTAATGTAAGTCCATACATGTCCACTAAAGCACTATATTTCATAATAACTTTGAGATCAATGATACGCTTTCTACTCTTACTGGGAAATAAATTTTATATTAAATATGTACTATATTTTTAAAATAAAATTTACCAGCAGTGCTTCATTTTAAAGACAGTGTGAACTCAAATCCAGTATTTTGATGAAAAAATCTGCACATCTTATTGCAAGCGAAAACAAAATGAAACAAAATGTTTCTGCTGTTCCTATTTCTACTCTTTCTTCCATAGGGACAAATATATAAATTCTTCTTTTCACTTACAGTTGTTCAAAACAATTAGTCATAGCATTGTGTGATTTCTCTTAAGGTTTATATATTTTCTATAGATGAATCAGATTTACCTGAAGTATGCTGAAATGATTCCAATACAAGGTACTGATGTTTTACATGTATTTTCCATATGGAAATAACACAATAGATCTTAGTTATCTGACATGACCAGACTTTTGAATTTGGTCAGTGTGCGTGACATCTGTGGACTTCATTCAGGGGCTGGTACCTTGGAAAAGGAAGCCAAAACTTTCTCTGATCCATGTTCTCATTCCATGAGGAAATCAGTATGCTTTAGCAAGGCAGAGAGGGCAAACTCAGTAGGATCTGTAATTAATACAAAATTAGTGAAGCAGAGACTTAAGTAAATATAAATGAACCAGTATGCATAGGTATCATGTTATCATAATGAAATAAGAGGAACTCAATTCCTATTGTGAAGAGGAATCTTTAGTAGTATAAAGAACTAGCTTGCTGTGAAAGATTAAAAAAAATCTTGACTCTGCTTTTCTCTGTACACATATCTATGCATGTCTGGAATCTGATCCTAGGGTTTCATACCTTATAGCTTCATACTTGTTTAGGGTCCAGTCCAGTCCACCATTCTAAGAAAGCCAGACTTAGTAGTTGTCTGAGTCTGTATATTAATTCTGTGGTTCACAAATAATATTTATCTGTTACATTCATTCCAGTGTGCTTGCAAACAGTATCAATTATCTAAACATAGGGATATAACAAAATAATCTCATCTTTAGGTGAGTGGAATTCATGTTACTCTTGGCCTGTGCAGGGCAATTGTGAGAATTTCTGCCGGGGGGGCATCAGATGCTTGACTGTGCCCTTTGCGACTGCTTGCTACAAAATGACGGTTCTCCGTAGCACATTGTTTGAGTGTTAAAGGTCAGCTTTTAGAGCAACAAAAGACACATTTTTTCCTGGCATGAAGACAAGCATGACCCTGGGTCCTGAGTGGCATTACTTTTTTTTGCCATTAAACTCTTAGATTCTTCACCATAGATGAGGGAAACAAGTTCACTGCTTGTGTTTCTTGGGCAGTCTAAGAAGGCAAATAACTTTGTCCTAGGACAGTTTTAAATATTCAGCTTTATAAACAGTTTTCTTTTTTAATATTTTAATATTAGTGTCATTGGAATGCATACACTCATTTAGTGCCTTGCATCTTCAACATTATAATCCTCCTCCTATAGTCAGAAACTATAGGATGTCTCTTTCATTGCCAGTGAGAGTTATCTACCCATACATATCTGAGCATCTGGTTTGTGCACATCTGGCGATGACAGATCCCATCCTCTGTAGTTCTAAGACTGTGGTGCTAATGGACCTTTGTGATCTCAGTAAGGTGAAGAGAGATGTAAATGAGACTGAGCTTTGTCCTAGTTCAGACAGTTTGAAATATGTCAGGCATAGTCCCAATTTCTTACAGTATAGTTGTGATCTGAATGTATTCAGATGCAAAGCCCCACCAGGTTCTTGTGCAGCAGGAACTCAGTTTCCTGAGTTAGACCGCAAAGGAAGTGACCTTGTGCTTAACTGCATTCCAGTTGCCAACGTCTTGATCTACAGAGAAGACAGCTTTATGGTTTCTATGGTTTGTGGGGTTATTTTGGGCATTTTGGAAAGCGATAGATATTTTTCTTGAAAGTCATTCTTGTGTTATTCCTTCTGGAGAGAAAACACATTGTGAAATACGTTTAGTGAGCTCCTCATGGAAAAAGGCCCATGCTTTGCAAGTATGTACTCATTTCTAGTTTTTAGCGAAGGAGTAGTTCATTAAGGCACATGTCACTGATCACATGATTGAAGCTATACATGCTTCTATGTTTGGTAGAAAAGTAGTATTATTAAAACAATATTAAACGTTACATTTATTTATAAATATTCAATCTTAATATTAAAATATTAAGTTACATGCAGTTAGCACTTAAGTGTCTTTAATTGCTAGCTATATGAAATTACTTGAAGTTAATCCATGGATTGTTCATTAACTGTTCACAGCAGACAGTATTTTAAGGATTCACCTTTCAAACTCAGTGGTTGTCCATCTAATTTGTATGCCTACATTCTCCTTTTCTTATCACATGTTTTTAATACATGTAATCTTTGTAGTACCTGTATATTCCAGTGTTTCCTCATTCTTCCTTTTCTGTTGTGTAGTTTCTGTTTCCTACAATTTGGCATCTATAACATTTTTATTAACTTTGTTCCATCCTACTTCTGAAATGGATTTTATTCTTGAAGACAGAGAAATCTATTTTGAACTACCTTTTCAAACCTGTTGGTTTTAACCAAGTGCACTGACATAAAAGGGAAAGATTACCATTCACATCAGTGGACGACAGAGGAGATTAAGGAAGGAGGATGCATCTCATCAACTATACGCATTCGTAGCATAGCTCTACATCTGAGCTTCACCCCCATCTCCTCTTTTACTCTTTGGAGAGAACAAGCAGCTTGTATAATGTGATTCATTTCATTTTTGTATGAATGTCTAAAATAAGTTCAGTGAATTGCACCTTGAAAGAGAATCAAGTTGGGGGCGATGAATTCCATCCCAGGCTACCAAGTCCACTGTTACTGGCCAAGCATCTAATATTTGCTAGAGTCCCACTGACTTAATCAGGACCCTAGAGCATGTATCAATGCATTGTAATTCATTTTGGTAAGCAGAAGATTTTACTGATTGTTTTCCTGAAGCTTTTTGCAGTTATAACCATACTCCTGTAAAAAATCAATAGTGTTCCTGTAAAAAAACAATAACACTAAATAAGTTGAAGTACAGTGTCTGAAGTCAAAGCCACGATAAGGAGGCTAGTATAATTTTATGTATACTTTTAGGTGCACATTAAAAGAAAATTGTACACGTTCAAACAGCATAAAAGGTTGGTATAATATTTCACATGCACCTGATAAAGATCTGAAAATCCTGCTAAGTTTCCCTGCCAAAAATCAGGTATGTACACCCAGTTTTTTGCGTGTTTGTTCATTGTGACTTAAAATGTGTCATTTTGTTGCTTGTTGCAGCTTCCCTTCTTTTGTCACCATGTTCCATATATTAGTCCCTCTTACCTCAACAATTGGCAAATGTATTAGAAATCCCAGTAAGCTGAATGTGTCAATCAAATAGATGTTCTCTTCCTCTCCTATAAAATGTATCCTGAAGCTATACTTCATGATGTTGAGTCAAAAATTCACTGTGCTGACAAAGGCAACGTTTCCGTTATATCACTTTATCAGCTATTTTAATATTTTCAGTGACTATATATCAAGTGCATTATGTAAGTTCTGAGCTTTGTAACAAGTTACAAAACATTCACTGGGACACATATGCTAACACAAATGCGTCTTTAAGTGTTTGATATTAGTATTTATTCAGTATCTCTTCACAGCACACACAGCCTTCAGTATTTGATTATCAAGTATTGTGACTGGCCACTTAATCTACATGCTATTGTTTCTGGTTTCCTGATTGAATGCACTAATGTGATCATATTTGTAAAGCGCTCTCAGCCAGAAACAAAGGATAATTCATTACAAGACAAACTCTGTTTCATAATTAAGTGCACTTTGGTTATGGATGCAAACGTTGTCTCTCTGTGAGGATTTGTACATTCTTGCTCAAATATTTGTAAGGGACTATAACAGCGTATAACACTGTTATAGCAAAGTTCTTGTTTTAAAATCCAAAATTATTCCAGATTGCTCCCCTAACATACCTTACAGATCCATGTAATGTTTGAAAGTAAGCAATGCTGTTCCTTTTAGGACTCTTTCTGCATTGCTTCTTCAGTTGGGAGAGGCCCTCTCCTTTGAGAGGCTACCTAGTGAATTGTCTGCTTCTGCCACAAAAACTCTCATTTTGTACATTTCATAGTTTGTAGTTTTCTGTAAAGACAAGGTGACGACTTCACAAGTATTACAAGAAATCTGTTGTATTCTTGTTTTTATTGTTTTATAGGTTGCTGTGGCTGCAAGCATAAACAAAATCCTTACTTCCTGTAGGATAAAAATTGTAAAACCTGTTGAAATATTTTATGAAAATGTAGTGCTGAAAAACTCATTCTGTTTCTGCAATCTAACCGCTCCAGCGATAACTGATAATGGTATGTTTTACTATTAGATGTATTTAATGCTTATTCACTGTCCTTTATTACTGAGGAGAACTGAGCGTACCTACAGGCCTAATGAGTGTGAGAGTAGGTAATGCTTTTTATTAAATGTCGTTGAAGAAAAAAAAAATCATGTTTTGTCAAGTGATTTGAGTATACTCACGCTATTCTTGATAATTAAAGATTTGTTAGTATGGAATCCTTTCTAGACGTAATAAAATGTTAACCTGTGGCTAGAAGTAGCTTCTTCAGTTCAGCCTATAGCAGTGCAGTGTTTTAGCATTAGGAGTATATTTACATGGTGCTATTAATCACTGTAACATTAGCATAGCTGCAGTGACAATCAAGCTGGCGGAGCTATGGAAGCAGTGTTGGTCCAGTGCTCTGCCTTGACAAATTAACCCATCTTAACCATTCTCTCATCTGCAGACAGAATTTGTTTTTGCAAGAAACTGTATTAGCATAAATAAGAAGAGAATCTGACTATGGATGCCTGTCCAATAAATATTCTTAATATTCAATTAACTATTTCAACCTAACTTAGACACTCGTGAGAAAGTGATTGTCCCGTGTGGAAGATTAGCAGAAAAATATATGGTTCAGGGGCAATTTGGCTGGTACATCTTTTTGACTTGATTTCATTCATCTTTCTGAATTATTGGTTGAATCATTTTCCAATAATTCTTATACTACTTTGTTCACCAGTAGTTCTCAGAATTAGAGACCTGAGCCATTTTTATCGGATGCATGGTGCATGTGATCTGTTTTGTGCATCTTATGGGCAACTACAGGTTTTAGAATGAGGTGGTAAATTACTGAATGTCTAGACTTTTGAGCTGTTCTCTAGGCTTTGGTCTCAAAGATCAGATGATAATCCTTCACAGTAGAGTCTTATTTGACTAATAGGAGGAAAACGTCCCCCTTGCATTGCTTCAAGGGTCTGTATAGAAGCACAAAGCTTTTTTAATACACGTTGACCTTGTACCTTTTAAAAGTTGCTTATGTTAGAATACAAAAGAGAGTTTTAATCTAAACTGAGGGACAAAGATAGCAAGCTCAAGGATACGTTGTGCTCTTAAGGGACTTGAAGAGGAAACAGAAAATTCAGATAAATGCCTGCCTTTATCTTTTCCTAGATAATATAGCCCAAAAGACATGTAATACTCTGCATGAATCTGATTCTTTTATAATACCTCTGTGTAGAAAGAGGAATAAAATGTTAAGCAGAACTTACAATGATCTGTTGTTCTGAAGAGCTCAGTGCTGCAAAGAGCTCTTTCTCTCGGGGACCCTTGCCCCTGAAGGAGGTTCCTTGGAATATTGGGATCTCAGGAGCTCATCCTATGGCCTTTGTATGGGAAAAGCTCCTCTGACATCATACAAGTGTTGTGTCAAGTTCCTGTCCAATACTGATTTGGGAATCGAGAAGGAAAAACATTGTCGCTAGCAGGTGACAGCTAGGGTGATATCCAGGAGTATTCTGGTCTATTAAGCTGTCTTTAGTAAACACTATTACTGGATTTTTAAGAGGGACAAATGCATTAGAGAAGAAAAAAATGTCCTTTATTGACCCAGTCCCAAAAGCCATGTTTTCTTATAATTATGGAGTACATTGTTTTGGTCCTCTGTCTTCTTGGGCTAAGGCTTTCTCTTACTTCATTAGCAGGTTTTCAGAGTATAGAGTTATGGAAGCCAGCTCATCTTGCCTGTGCTTTGTGTCAAAGATGAGCCCTTTGACAGTGTTAACCAGAAGGCTGTGAGCTTAGCTTGTGCCCATCAGTATTACTGTCACTCACATGCTTCTATGAGCTGAGATACATTAGTGGATAATGCAAGTGTGAAAGTTATGTTGACTATGGCACCTCACGTAATGTGACCTCAGTCTCACAAGAAGATGCACTTGCAAAACTCCTTCAGGTATCATTTCTGGAAAAAAAACATTTTGAAAATAACTCCTACTCAGTGCAGTTGTGGTGCATTTTGAAAGATCAGCCCAGGCCATACAGAAAATAATAGGTTATGTTAATTTCAACACAGACAAAATCAGGAAAACATATTTGACAGTGTTCTTGTTAAAGTATTTATACAAAGTTAAAAGAGAAGACAGGCTCTGCCAGAAGCAGATAAATTCCTTACTTTTACTTACTACTCGTAGTAAAATACTGTTTTTCAGTAGCTCACGGCTTGAGACATATAATGACCTAGGCAAGTGATTTAGGCAATTCTGTGCCAACATATCAGATTTCTGCAGATACATAGATTTCTGCAGATACATAGATTTCTGGAGATGCAAATAGGAGTTCGGTGAAGGATTTCAGAATGTCTATGTGTGCTCATCCACATCTTCAAGCTTTGAAACACCTTTAAAAATCAGACTCTTTCTTTGTTATCTGTTTAGTAAGGTATTTAAGCATGCAAACAGTCCCAAGGGCTGTTTCTAACAAGCCATGCAGGTGACCTTTGCAGTGAGCACCCGAGTGGGAGGCTGACGTGTGGAGCTAGGAGATACTTCTGATTTAACAATGTAGATGTAGTCAAAGTTGGTTTTCATCTGAACAAGCCAGCCTGTGATAAAGACAAAGCTTTGTCTGCCTTTGCAAGGTAGATATACTTTAAATCTGTGTAACTTTCCCAGATTAAAAAAGCTATCTACTTCCCAGCATAGAGAAGCCAGAAAAGTCTGCACGCATGGATTTCGTTTGATCTCAGACAGTCATTCATTTCACAGACATACGCATCTGCAGGCACACAGATGAAAGGGACCGTGGCTTAAGTGGTATATATCTAACTCTACTTTTCGATGTGGTATTCTGCTCATGGGAGAAGATACTCTTTCATTCCACAGCTGTCAGTGAATTGTCGGTATAGTAATTGCTAGCTGAAATAATGGCAAATTGACTCATGCAATCATAAAAGATTTAAATAGGATGAAAATTGCTACTGCATAGATTACAGAAGACGACTCTGAAACCAAGTCTCTGAGACAGAAAGAGAGAGAAGTACGGTATGTTGGGGTCTCACATTAGAACAATCTGTTGTGTTAGAAGGCTTGAATTTGGGGTCTGGCTGTGCCACAGTATACCGCTGTGTGCTCTTCGGGAGCTGATTTTATATCCCTGCTCCACAGTAGCATTTTCTTATCTGTATCCTGACAATAACATTACTTTTGTATGTCATGCAGTGATGGCATCAAGCTTAATTAATGAGTGTGTATAAAATCTTGGAATAACTCAGCTGAAGGGTGCTATGGAAGGACAAAATGTAGTTATTTTTATCAGTCAAAAGTGTGAGTGAATGTTTAAGAGAAGGTGCATACCATGTAGAGAGCAGCTGAAGGCACATGAACTTTCAACTGGATTATTTTTTACAGTTATTTCTTGTAATATCCAGCATATGTCTAACAGTCACATTTTTCCAGATTGTCTAGTTCTCGAAGCATCACTGTCCTCAAGCTCTTGGAGTATCACAGAAACATTTCGGTTGAAAAAGTAAGAGCCTGGTTCCTACTGAAGTTCATTGAGGTGTTTATGTGTGTGTGCAGGGAGGGCGGTGGAAGTATGATCATTCTTTTTTTTTTATTATTTATTAAGGACATGCATTTTGCTAAAGATAGTCAAATCCCTTTTCTTGGCCCATTTCCTGCTTCTCCTCTTTTTTTTATTGTCATTAGAAAGCTACTTCTTCTGATGACTCTCTTATTTAACGGGACCCTGGCAGCTAGCTGTAGGAGAGTCATTACAATGACTGAATTTATGACAAGTGCCTGAAGAGATAATAAAGGATGTCACGATGACATTAAAATCCTTTTTGTCCTTGTGAAAAAGGTGGGCCCCTGATACTCAGGATAAGACCTAGATCAGAGGAGTCAAGAGATTCTGTAAAAGTCACTTTAAGGAGCTGTTTTTTAATAGAGCCAGATGCAATTTAAATATGGTCCATGAGTAACATGAATGCAATTAAACCAGAAAGTAACATCTAATCTGCTAATAGGAATAATGAATACCTATTGTTCTGTACACATTATTTTTCAGCGTGACACTCTTTGTTGAGAGCTCGCAGTAGAAAGCATTTGCACCCAGTACATGGCCTAACCCTTTACGATACGTGGTTGTTAAAACTTAGAAAGTTTTACCTGTAGGTGACTACAGCGTTCCCATTCAGAACGCTCCTCCCCTATACAAAGAGGCTCATTCATAGGCACCTGGGATGAAACTGAACTCCTGCTTTTTGGGAAGTGGCACATCACTTCCCTGTCCCTGGAGCAACACAGGGAAGGAACTGTCTTTCTCTAAATCAGAGCATTTCTCAGCATGCGTGGAGAGGGCCTGTGCTGCTCTTGGCTTTCCTCCATGCTGATAGATGCATTGCAAAGCAAGATAGGGACTAACTAGTCTCCAGCAGGCATATTTTTTGGT